CAGGGAGAAAATCGAGGGTGCTTCAGGTGTGATAGGGTCAGCAAGAGACAAGCAGGGACACTGGGAGGGTCCCCACTGACCCACACAAGCCCAGCCCTTACCAGCACACCCGACTGAGACTGAGAGAGTGAGACTGAGACTGGCCTGGAGTATCTCAATGAGAAGCACCAATGGCAGGGAGGAGAGTGGGAAGAGGGCATTCCCTCTCTGAGACTCAGTTTCCTCATCCACCCATGGCACCCAGTCCTTAAAGCCTCAAGGTGAGAGTTCAGTGAATGCAGCAACATTCCTCTGTGTGCTTGGATCTCTCTGACTAGACTGGGAGCCTTGAGGACAGGGCAGGGATCTCACTGACATGAAGGACTCTAGCCTGAGGCACCACAAGGTCTGGCTCAGGATTGAAGGTGAGCTTGTACAGGATTCCAAGGTCTCTGGAAGAGTCTGCAGAGGCCTGAGACTCTAACCCTGCCCTAAAGGGCCTCTGGGATGAGGAGGGGAGACATTACTGATGCAGATGGTCACAGGGCTGCAGTGAAATGGGTTTGGGGGAGGTCTGAGGGAGAAGATACTAATGTCCTGCAGGTCGGTGTCAAGGGGGACTTCACAGAGGAGGTGACCTTAAAGACTAGCTGCAGTCTATTAGTAGACGAGGAAAAGGACAATAATAGGCTTAGGAAACTGCCTGTGCAAATGCTAAGCCGTGGGAATAAACTTGCTATTTTATAGAAGGGCTCCTTGGCTCTACATGAGAAGGTCACATCAAGAGGTTGGGGTGTGGCTGGAACTGGGGGTGATTGCCAGTTCTTGAGGTAGACAAGGTGGATGTGGGTGACTTCTGCTCTTCTAAGCAGAAGTAACAGTGGTTCAAGACCAAGGAGGCAGGAAATTACCTTGCATGTCTTTGGAATGGATATTGTGGGGGAGTGAAGAGGGAGGTGCGGGGTCTGGTGATGGGTCAAGTAGGCACAAAGCCAGACTGAGAGGTTAGACTTTCTCTGGAGGCACAAGAACCATGGAAGGGTGTTGAGCAGGGAAGAAAAGTCTGAGTCTCTCCTTTTGATTAGTTCTGTTTAACTGTCTGGCCCTCAGTTCTGGGAGTAGGTAACATTCATTTTCCAGAAGCTATTCCTGAAAGAAATCCAATGTAACCCTAATGTAACCCAGAGACACACAGCATACAATACACACAACAGACATAACCATACTCACCGTGCCAAATGCATACCACATGCCTCCTTCCACCTGATACACACCATTACCCTCATACACAGCACACCATGCACAACACAGCACATGCCACATACAACACACATTAACAAACCACAGTCACACAGAACTCATACCATGCCATGCCTTCACAATACACACAAAATGCATGCATCATGTTCTCATACCTCGCATCACACACGACTCATACTATACACACCATACAAACATATCATATACATATATACGCTTACACCCATATACCATACAAACACGCTACACAAACCACACAAATGCCACATGGAACACAGCTACTACACCACAAATGAATTCTCCCAATACGTAAACTTGGCTTGTTCCTGGGCTTACACAGATCCTGATTTCTTCTCCCCAGCTCCTCTCACCTGTCAAAAGGGGGTCACTCTGTTAGCTTCCAACTTTGGAGTCAGATCTTGAGGGTTGCATTTGCTTTCCCTAGTTCAGTTCAGTTGAGCAGTTTAATAAGCATTTATTGAGCAACGGCAAGATCAGGTGTCAAAAGCTGGGGTACAATGAGATGTCATGGAGACAGAAGGCCATTGCAGGGTGACAGACAGCTCCTGTGAAGACCTGGGGCTGAAAGACAGCTGGGTGCAAGGGAACAGATTGCCCAAATAGGCCATGGCAGAAGCCCACTGAAGTAGAACCAAAGGGCTCAAATGTGAATGGCCTTGACTGCCCCACCAAGGAGCTGAGCAGTGGTCTCATTGAAGGCTATGAATCCACACAGTCAGGTAGAGCACAACAGTTAAGAATCTAGTTAGTGTCTGAATCCAAGAGATGTAGGCTTCTGTCTTGATTCTGCCAGCTTTGGAGGATCACTACCTCTTTGAGACCCTTTCACCAAATTCAAGGAGAAGGGGGTGATTACAGAGAGTTGGGAGCAAAAGAATATATGCAAAGGCCCTGGGCGGGAGGGGGTACCTGCCACTTGTTCAAAAAAGAGCCCAGCAGCCTGTGTGACTCTAAGCAGTGTGTTCAAAAGAGATCAGAGCAGGACATGTGGTCAGAGAGGCAGTGCCTTTGCGGCCATTTTAAAGACTTAAATTTTATTCTGAGTGGAGTGGAAACCTATTAAATCTTCAGAGCAGAGGAGTGACATGAATTGACCTACCTTTTATGAGAATCCTTCTAGCTGCTGGGTAAAAACTACAGTAAGGGGAAGGTGGGAGTGGGGGAGAGGACCTCCAGAGAGACTCATAAGGGAGCAGGTGAGAGCCAGTGGGGTCTTGGACTCTAGAGGAAGCAACAGAGGTGATGAAAAGTGGACGGGGTCTGTCGGTATGGTGCAACTTAAGGCAACAGGATATCCTAATGGGTGCAACACAGGATGTAAGAAATAGAGAATTGTTAAGAATGACAGCAATGTTCTCAAACTTGAGCAATTACAAGACAGGAGCTACTATTGACCAACATGCGAAAGGTGGTAGCAGGGAGAGTGGGTCCAGGCTGGGAGCCATGATACTGTGGTCCGTGAAGTGGAGAAGTGAGCGGTCCTGCTTCCTGGGGCTGTTTTGAAGGTTACCCATGTGGGTGGATGCTATATCGTTAGCCCAGGAGTTTCTGCATCATAGGACATATCCCTGCTGGTGCTGTGATGGCCTTAACTGAAGGTTCCTGGTTTTCAGAGTGGACTCCCGAGGGCCCCAGAGTCCACGGTAGCTGAGGATAGTCCTCAATCACTGTCTTCCCCGTCACTCAACTCAAGGAGCCCAGCTCTTCTAATTGCTAGCGGTGGGCACTGGGAAAGCTGCTTCACAATTCTTCTGCTTCTGTTTTCCATCTTGAAAATGGGGAGGAGAAGGATAGCACCACCTACTTTGGGGGTCATTGTGAGAAAATGTAACCCAGATGAGGGAGCTCCTTAGGAAACTTAAAAGAGGCTAATCCATAGAAAGCAATCACAACAGCCAAGCACATAGTAATTGCTCAGTACACACTAGGCACTGCAATAATTCTGTTTGGAACATGGGATTTCTCAGTTAAAAGAATATAAGGTGTCAGTCTACACTCCTTATTATCCTAGACTGGGAGCCATGAGGACAGGGCCTGGATGTCACTGACACCAAGGTTTCTAGCCTGAGGCAACACAAGGGCTGGCTCAGCACGTGAAGTGAGTTTGTGCAGGATTCCAAAGTGTCTAATGAAGACACTAGAGGGCCCAGACTCATCCGTCTCTCTCACACCCCAAGCAAGGAGCAGCCTTAAAGGGGTGTTGAGAAAGGTCCCTGCAGATGTTGGAGCAGAAATGGTGAATAGGGTATGAAGAATAGGGGAGGGTCTCAGACTTCAAAGTTCCCTTCTAAGCTGAGATCAAGGGACTGTGTCCAGGCTACGTGTCTGTCCCCAAGCACGGGACCTGGAGGGACAGACATGGCTTGTTCCGGGACTTACCCAGACCCTGATTTCTTCTCCCCAGCTCCTCTGACCTGTCAAAAGGGGATCATGCTTCAGATGAAAGAAAACCTGACTCAGAACCCCTTGCCTTGGGACACATTTTCAACCATAACATGTGATTTGAAGGAGGTGTGTCAGGAGACACTGCTGCTCATAGATGTAGGTGCGTGGACTATGCAATAGGGTGGGATGGCTGCATGGTGTCCTGGGTCTCCTGCCCTGGATTCAGTCTCCTGAACTTGCTGCCTGTTTCCCACCATGCCTGGAGTTCTACACCTCAGTCTTACTCTTTCTGACCTTGGTTTCCCCTTCTGAAAAATGAGGCTAGGTGCTGGCAGTAATAGTACTTGTGCTGGGTAGTCATGAAGACATATTCAAGGGCCCTTGCAAAGATCTGAGAACAGAGCTGGTGTACAGTGACATCAGTGACTTTGTCTGAACCTTATTGAGCACCTGTTGTGTGCCAGCTTCTATAGATGCCATTGGATGTCTTCCTATCTCTTTTTGCATGAGTGAGGAAGCAGAAAATCCAGCAGGGAAAGGAGAAAAGAGAGAGTGAGATGGAGGTAGCAATTTGAAAAATGGGAGGTTCCACTTGAGAGGGTAACATTTGATCAAGAACTGAGAAATGACAGAGCTAATGGAAGGACTCAGGCTCAGGCTCCCTCTTCACTCCACCTGCAACGACCTCTGATCTTGGACTCAGGCATCCTACTTTCACCTTCTATCTGCTAAGCATCCAGAAAATGCTAGCTCCTGTCTCCCTTAGAAACTCTCCACCCAAGCCCAGCTATCACTCCCTTCCCCTGCAGGACCTAAATCACTCATGGTGGGGAGCAAAGGCTGCAGCAAGACTGAGACACAGAATTCCACCACTATCTCCATCCACTCGGCGCCCCCTGGAGTGCTCGTCGCCTCCTATGCCCATTTCTGTTCCTCCGATGGGTGCAACAGGGCCACAAGTAGCAGTGTCCTGCTGAACTCCCTCCCTCCTCCAGGTATGGGAGCCCAGGGGGATGGGGGCTACCCCATGGGGAGGCCATGGAGAGATGGGGCCCCAGAGATACAGAGACTCTGGGCTCAAGGAGGGTGACTGCAGCTGGGAGGAGAGCTGTGCACCCTAACCTTCCCTTTGCTCCCCAGCTGCCCCTGCCCCAGGAGGCCTGCAGTGTCCTGCCTGTGTGCAATTCGGTGGATCCTGTTCAAACTCTGTAAACGTCATGTGCCCTCCTGGTACCACTCATTGTTATAATGGCTACCTCAATCTCAAAGGAGGTGAGTGCTGAAGGCCAGGTCCCAGGATGAAAGGGTGTTATTTGGATTCACTAGTGCTGCGGGGGGAAGGTACTTAAGGCCCTGGCTCATGGGCTTGACTATGGAGAGAGCTGGAGACTCAGATTTTTAGACCTGAGGGTGGCGAGCCCTAAGAGCCTGATCTTCTGGTCTGAGGGGTGAATAGTAAGGTCTGAGATTCTGGATCATAGGAATTTAAGTGTGTATTACTTTGACACCCCTCTGAGTCAATCTTCACTCTCTAGGTGGGCTGTCTGCTATATTTAGCATTCAGGGCTGCATGGCCCAACCTTCCAGCTCCTTGTTGAACCACGCCAAAAATATTGGGCAGTTCATCGCAAGTGAGGGTGCTGAGAATGAAGATGAGGAAGATAAGGTTCGCCAAAGTGGGGCTGTTCCTGTTCGCTGCCTGGCTTGGGTGGTGGGGCTGGGGATATCCTTTGCCCTTTGGTGTGGGATAACCTCCCACTGACTCCATTTACCCATGATTTTTCTCCCCTACTTACCCCCTAAATACAGCCCTCCCTCTGACCTCATAACCAAACACTGAGTTGTTTTCCCATCTTCTCTGTGAATTCTCATACACACACATACACATACTTTGTGATCTGATAACAAGATATGGAAGAGCCTGGGAGTAGCTGCACTGTTCTTACAGCCACATGTATCTAATAAATAAAGAAATCATCTTTTTTCCCAGTGCTGGTGTTTCTCTATGGGAGGGGAGGTCAGCACACCCAGACATCTGTCATGGGGGAGGAGAGGTGATTGTGAGTGATTCACCATTGCAGGCCTGTCCTTCTCTGGTCTGGTGAACATCTCTGTTCCAGCTTGGGTAGTAGCAGAGCCTTCAGGGTATTTGGGCATCTCTGTAACCTGGGAGGGGAAGGCACACTTTGACCAATGATGCATCTACTTAGGAGTCAGGTTCCCTGCACAAACAGGGACTTCATCCCACTCAGATCACTTGATATACGGTTTTGTGTGAAGTACAGAAACATGAGATCGTGCACAGTTTCCTGAGGCTGGCACAAGGTCTGCTACCATTCTAGGCCTGAAAGGCTGAGGAGAAGTTATTACCATTACTAGAATCCTGAGAGAGGGGGCAGGATGTTTAGAGACGGCTGACTGGAAAGAGCTCAGATCTCAGACCAAGTAATCCGTCCAGGCAACAGCAACATTACAGGGAAGGAGCTGGGGAATTGGGGGCCCAGCCTCACTCAGTGTCCGCCCTCTGGCCTCCTGTCAGGGCTCCCCATTGACTGCACCCAGCTGTAAAGCAGGAGATCCCACTGACCCAGTCCCCATAGATCTGCCCCCAACAGTGCAGAACAGGGAAAAAGGGGAGAGAGTTGAGTCTGGAAAAGGAAACAGAGTGTCCAGCACAGTCCACCGTTCTTCTCCGCTCATCTATCCCTTCCTTTGTCCAGGTGGAAATCAGACTCTTCAGAGAGGATCATAGGCCTAGAGAAAATTAAAATGGCAATAAGTAAATACCTATCAATAATAACCTTAAACGTAAATAGATTAAATGTTCAATCAAAAGACATGATGTGACTGGATGGATAAGAAAATATGCGGTCTTCAAGAGACCCACCTCAGAACAAAAGATACACATTAATTGAAAGTGAAAGGATGGAAAAAAAATATTCCACGCAAATGGGGGAAAAAAGCTGGGGTAGCAATACTCATATGAGACAAAATAGACTTCAAAACAAAAGCCATAACAAGAGACAAAGAAGGCCACTACATAATACTAAAGGGAATGATAAACCAGAAAATATATAACCCTTGTAAACATATATGCAACCAATACAGGAAGACCCAAATATATTTTTTAAAAGAAAAAAAACTTTTGATGAGCTTTAAGGGAGAGATTGACAGCAATACAGTAATAGTAGAAAACACAAATGAAAATTAACATACAACCAACCAAAACCTATGGAATACAATGAAAGCAGTCCTGAAAGGGAAGTCCAGAGTATTACAGACCTACCTCAGAAAACAAGACAGAGCACTAATAAACTAACCCTACAACTAAACTAATTGGAAAGAGAACAGCAAAAATATAACAGAGAAGTAGAAGGAAGGAAATAATAAAGAATAGAGCAGAAATAAAGAACATAGAGACAAAAAAAAACACACACCAACAGTACAAGAGATCAATGAAAACAAGAGCTGGTTCTTTGAAAAGATAAACAAAATTGATGAACCCTTAGCCAGATTCATCAAGAAACTAAGAGAGATGACCCAAATACATAAAATCAGAAATGAAAGAGGCAATATAACAATGGACACCACAGAAATACAAAAGATTATAAGTACATACTTTGAACTATATGCCAACAAACTGGACAACATGGGTGAAATGGACAATCTTCCAAAACTTGATCAGGAAGAATAAAAAAAACTGTATAGGCCAAAAACAACTGATAAAATTGAAACAGTAATTTAAAAATTCCCAGCATACCAAACCCCTGGACCAATGGATTTCCAGGAGAATTTTACCAAACATTCAAAGAAGAACTAACATCTATCCTCCTCAAACTATTCCAAAAATATTCAAAAGGGAGGAGCACTTCCAAGCTCTTTTTACAAAGCCAGCAATATCCTAATTCCAAAATCAGATAAAAACAAACAAAAAAGGAAATTACAGGCAAATATCCCTGATGAACACAGATGCTAAAATCCTCAACAAAATATTAGCAAATCAGATACAACAATGTATTTTTTAAATATATTTTATTGATTTTTTACAGAGAGGAAGGGAGAGGGATAGAGAGTTAGAAACATTGATGGGAGAGAAACATCAATCAGCTGCCTCTTGCACACCTCCTACTGGGGATGTGCTCACAACCAAGGTACAAACCCTTGGCCGAAATCGAACCTGGGACCTTTCAGTCAGCAGGCCGATGCTCTATCCACTGAGCCAAACAGGTTAGGGCTACAACAATATATTTTCAAAAATCATACATCAAGTGGGTTTTATTCTAGAGATGCAGAACTGGTACAGTATTCACAAATCAATAAATGTGATACATCACATAAACAAAATGAAAGATAGAAATCACATGATCATATCAATAGACGAAGAAAAAGCATTCAACAAAATCCAAAATCCTCTTTTGAATAAAATTATCAGCAAAGTGGGAATAATGGAACCATACCTGAACATAATAAAGGCCATATATAACAAACCTATAGCAAATATCATACTCAATTGGCAAAACTAAAAGAACAAGTATAAGACAAGGATGTCCACTTTCACCACTCTTATTCAGTATAGCACTGGAAATCCCAGCCATGGAGATCAGACAAGAAGAGATAGAAGGCATCCAAAATGGAAAGGAGAAAATAAAATTCTTCTTACTTACAGATGACATGATCTTGTACATATAAAAACCTAAAGACTCCACCATGGAACCTTTAGACTTAATAAATGAAAGATAGAAACATCAATGAAGACAGAGAGTCATTGATCAGCTGCACACCCCCTACTGGGGGAGAGGGAATCAAGCCTGCAACCCAGGCATGTGCCTTTGGCCAGAATTGAATCTGGGAGCCTTTAGTCTGCAGGCCAACGCTCTATCCACTGAGCCAAATTGGCTAGGGCCTGATGGCATTTTTATACAGCAATAATGAACTCTCAGAAAGAGAAACTAAACAATCCCATTTACCATTTCAACAACACAAAAAAATAATACCTACGAATAAACTCAATCAAGGAGGTAAAAGTCCTATACTTGGAAAACTATAGGACATTGAGCCCTAGCTTGTTTGGCTCAGTGGATAGAGCATCCACCTGCAGACTGAAGGGTACAGATTCCATTTCAGTCAAGGGCGCATGCTCAGGTTGTGGGCTCAATCCCCAGTAGGGGGCGTCCAGGAGGCAGCCAATCAATGGTTCTCATGACTGATGTTTCTATCTCTCTCTCCCTCTCCCTTCCTCTCTGAAATAAAAAAAAAAAAAAATTTAAGCAAGTTTTTCTATCTAAATCTCTTCTCATGAATGTGGAGAGGGTCAAAAGTTCTTTCTGAGTTTTGTTTCTTAAAAGCTTGAAATCAATATCTCAAAATAAGAACTTCAGAAAGGCTCAATTTTGGATGCCTTCACTAAACACAGATCACTCACGCCCACTGGGGCTCTCAGCCCTCCAGAGTTTCCTCAGGTCACTCAGAGGGAAGCCAGACTTCTGGCTATGGCCCCGTCCTCTATGACTCCATCTCCTCTCATATCCAGCTCTGTCTGCTCCAACCAGATTGCTTCCATTTTGCTGCTTCAAACATTTTAAATGGAAAGAAATAAAAACACCCCACACATCCCTTATTTCACTCTAACGTACTATCACATTATTACTGTTGTTGCTGTGTGGGTTACTGGGCAACTCCCACACCAGCAGGCCATGTCCATGAGGACTGGGATTTTGTCTGTTCCATCGCACACCTGCACCCCCAGTGCTTAGAGCAGTGTCAGCAGATGGTGAGCAGTAGGTTGGTCTTCTTTGATAAGTGAGTAAAGAAGTTACACATGTGATCATGGTTGAAAGGGTGAAATATGGTGTGTCATGATCTCACATAACTGGGATTCTGACATAGACTGAGGGACCAGGGAGACTTTCCTGAGGAGCGGCATCTAATAGAGCAAGAACCCAGGTTAACCTAGAGCTGATGGAGGGCAGGAGTAAGAGGTCCAGGCAGAGGGCACAGCAGGTGCAAAGGCCCGGAGGTGGGAAAGTCAAGGGAAGTAAATGAGTTAAACTGACTCATTTGGGTGATTAAATGAGCTAATAGACCTGAAGTGCCCAGTACACAGTATGTGCTGGAGAAAGGCCAGCTATTGTCATTATTGCACCCCTGTGGGCACACATCCAGAGTCTGCCACTTGGGAACAGCAGTGATAGAGAAACAATGTTCTCCTCTCCCCAACCACAGGAGAAATTCATAACATCAGCCTTGATTACAGCTGGACTGAGTTATAAGTGACAGGCAATAAACCACACATATATAAAGTGGACAACTGATGAGTGTTGACACGCATACACACTCCATGTGTGTCCAT